GTGTAGAAGGACGTGTGGTTTGCTCCTCAGACGTGCATTGATGGAATAGACTTATACCGTCAGTATATACTGACTGGCACTGCCCACCTCTGAGTCAACCCCATTACTCTGTATGTTGAGTTTATATCCCCGGAAAGCGCAATATCTAGGCGTATGCACATGACATGGGTCGAGTGCCCCAAACAGATAGTGATGCCGGCACTTCTCCCACGTTTCATACTTTAAATGTGTTCTTGATTGAAATCTGCCGGGCCATCCCATTCCCTATAACCATGAGTTTGTTCGAAAGGTTGTTCCAACGATAAAAATGAAGAAAAAGGACAATATTGAAGGCCAAACCAGACCCTGATCACCAATCATCCTCTCCACCTTGACCTGACGATCCGGAACGCAGCCCCGGCAGGCACCTTCATCCGAAAGTGAGGGACCTTTCCCCGCCTTTTTCTTCTGTCCTTGTCCTGTCATTTATTGGTTTGTTCGATTCTACACCAACTGCTACAACTCCACATCTTTCTATCCATCACTCACGCCGGTGGACGAGGGAACGGGTATTAAAACGGATCGCCGTCTTGTCATCCTAAACCTGGATCTCGGCGGAGCCCTAGACCAAGTTTGCCTCATGAGGAGAGATTATCTACTATTTCCCGGGCCCTCCCACCCCGTCGCCCTGTGGCCTGACCGATGGCTAAAGCCATCCACTCGTGACCTTTAGTCTCCGTCTTAGTGCTTTTAGTGCTTTTCCTTCCCCGGTTTTCTCGTCTGCTTCAGTGGCTTTCTGGGGGCGTCTCCTCGTGTCGTCTGTTGTTGACTCGGTTTACGGCGACTCCCCGGCCTATAAGGTCTCGAGGTAATTCAAACCGTCAAGCTAAAATCCTCCTTAGCACTTCTTTCTTGGTTCCCCAGGTCTAAGACCCATTCCTTCATCTCTCTCCCGACCCGATTACTTTAGTCGGCAATATGTTCTGACCCTGGAATTTGAGCCGAATTTCTCCCTCCCCACTGACCCGTATCTTCTGGCTCTCTCTCTCTCTTTCTCTTAACTGCCAGTTTTCACAACGTCGTTTCCTTTTTGGCTCGCTATACTATTCCTTTCTCTCCAGATTATTCCCCTGTTTGGCTCTCATTCGATGTGACGAACTATATCTACTTAACTGACTAGGACCACTTTTACGTGATTTTGGGGCCTTAACGGCCCTTCTCCGTTTTCCCTTTTTCATTTCCGTTCCCCACATCCGCCAATCTTGTCCAACCGCGTTCCTATATGTACCAGTAGATCAACCGGTCGCTTCCCTTGCCCGGTGAGAATGTCGATGACCTCGATTCAGCATTTCACGAGTTCCTTCTCTCCTTTTTCTTCAGGTACCCAGCCGGTCGGAATGGCGCAATCTCAGACGGTCGGGCTGGATACGCTCGCCGAGGGTTCGCAATACGCGCTGGAGCAACTGCAGCTGTCGCGAGAAGCCAATGGGGCCAGTGCCGTCGACGGTGGAGTTCCTAACCCTCTTAGAAGCTCAATTTCCAAGCCCCAGAGCCGGCCGCTTTACAGCGATGAGTCCTCCACCCAACATACCCAGAACGCAACCACCGGGTTCAGAAACTTGCCTCAACGGGACCAACTGGCAGAGGCTCGCTCGACGATCCGCAAAAGTTCAAACTCCGGTCCCGTCCGCCGAAGAATCAGTCGAGCATGTGATCAGTGTAATCAGCTTCGGACGAAATGCGATGGGCAAAACCCATGTGCGCATTGCATCGGTAATGATTTCTTTATTCATTGCGCAATGCTTTATAAATACTGACAATCTTCGGGCAGAATTTGGCCTCACTTGTGAATATGCTCGAGAACGCAAAAAACGTGGCAAAGCATCCAAAAAGGATCTCGCTGCGGCTGCCGCCGTCGTAGCCAATAATGGCACCGCGTCGACGTCAAACGGCAATACATCCAACGATTCCGCATCGTTAGCTAAACAGCACACCTCTTCGGATGGTCAGTCAACGCAAGAGGTCAGCGGGAGATACGATTCGACCTTTGATGCCGCCCGAACCCTGACGACAGCGGGACAGTCGCAATTAGGGCAGCACTCTGATATGTCAGGCATGGCGGGGATGCAGGGCTCGCAACAGACCCCGCACTCTCAGCCACCCCTAAGTGGTGCAATCGATGCCATTCACTTGAATCACTTCAACACTCTTAATGATTCCAACCGACCGCAGATGTCTGTTCCCGACCTTCGTTCCTTGCAGATGCTGCATCCATCCGGCGCAAATACTCGGTCTCCGTCAGGCGCACTGCCACCTCAAGGGCTGAATTCCGGCTATAATGACGGCGCTTATTCTCTGATGAATGCGCCAGAAACAAATCACCCATCAATCAGCCAATACCGGCTCGGGAACTCTGCTGAAAATCCCCCGGCGCCTTTTCTAGGCTTATCGCCCCCAGCGCAATCACCAGGATGGCTATCACTCCCTTCACCGTCCCCTGCAAATTTCGCTTCCTTTAGCATGCCTCCATTTTCCAGCACCTTGCGGTATCCTGTCCTTCAGCCCGTCCTCCCTCATATCGCCTCGATCATTCCTCAGTCATTGGCCTGTGATCTCCTCGATGTCTACTTTACCAGCTTCTCCCCTTCCCACCTGTCGCCACAATCCCCGTATGTTGTCGGGTATATCTTCCGAAAACAGTCGTTTCTCCATCCCACAAAGCCAAGGGTATGTAGTCCTGGCCTACTGGCTAGTATGCTATGGGTTGCCGCGCAAACGAGTGACGCAGCGTTCTTAACATCTCCGCCGTCTGCTCGGGGCAGAGTATGCCAAAAGCTCTTGGAACTCACGGTTGGCTTACTCCGGCCGCTGATCCACGGCCCCGCCCCCGGGGAAACATCTCCTAACTATGCTGCTAATATGGTCATCAACGGTGTGGCCCTGGGAGGATTTGGCGTTTCCATGGATCAACTCGGCGCGCAAAGTAGCGCAACAGGTGCTGTAGATGACGTTGCCACGTACGTTCACTTAGCGACTGTGATCTCTGCCAGTGAGTATAAGGCAGCTAGCATGCGTTGGTGGACGGCAGCATGGTCTCTCGCTCGCGAATTGAAGTTGGGACGTGAATTACCGCCGAATGCCTCCCAGTCAAGACAGGACGGCGAGCCGGAGGACGATACAGATGTCGACATGTCAAAACGTAACCTCCCTCCTCTTGTCACATCGGTCGGAGGTAGCTCTGGAAGCACGATTCTTAATTTTACTGAGGAGGAACGAGAAGAACGCCGGCGTCTTTGGTGGCTACTCTATGCAACAGATCGCCACTTAGCGCTCTGTTATAATCGTCCTCTGACATTACTGGACAAGGAATGTGAAGGACTCCTCCAGCCGATGAATGATGACTTATGGCAGGCTGGCGATTTTGCTGGTGCCACTTACCGGCAGGTAGGGCCGCAGGTAGAGTGTACAGGACACAGCATGTTCGGTTTCTTCCTGCCTTTGATGACAATCTTGGGCGAAATTGTCGACCTTCAGCAAGCAAAGGAACATCCCCGGTTTGGTCGCGTCTTCCGAAATAGTGCAGACTGGGACCACCAAGTGCTAGAGATCACCCGCCAACTGGATACATATGCTCAGAGTCTGAAAGAATTCGAGGCTCGTTACACTAGCAGTCTGACTCTTGGGGCTGGGGAAAATGAGACCGCTATGGAAGGATCACATTTGGACCATGTGAGTCCATCTGGCCGTTCTACTAGTACGGCTGGGTCGCGGGTGAATGAGTCCATCGTGCATACGAAGATGGTAGTCGCCTACGGAACCCATATCATGCACGTCCTACATGTCCTGTTGGCCGGGAAATGGGACCCTATCAATTTGCTTGAGGATCATGACCTCTGGATATCTTCAGAGTCGTTCATAGCCGCAATGAGCCATGCAGTTGGCGCTGCTGATGCTGCAGCTGACATACTGGAGTACGATCCAGATATAACTTTCATGCCCTTTTTCTTCGGAATATATTTGCTGCAGGGAAGTTTTCTGCTCCTACTTGCAGCCGATAAACTTCAGGGTGAGGTCAGTCCTAGTGTTGTCCGTGCGTGCGAAACGATTGTTCGAGCACACGAGGCTTGCGTCGTGACACTGAACACTGAGTATCAGGTGAGTTTTGCCTTTTAGGGGTTATATATCGATAGATGTCTAATATGTTTATCTCTCAGAGGACATTCCGCAAGGTCATGCGTTCGGCTTTAGCGCAGGTTCGTGGGCGCATGCCTGAAGATTTCGGTGAACAGCAACAGCGTAGGCGAGAAGTGCTAGCCCTCTACCGCTGGGCCGGTGATGGCAGTGGTCTTGCACTATGATGAACGCCGCCGCCATCAAATAACTCTCAACTTGCATCTTTGCCATCTGCATAGCTGGCAAACCTGACGACGTGATGCGATCTCATGACATTTATTAATTGAAGAGGCCCGGTGGGCTTAGGGTCCAGGAGTTTAAAAGGCAACCTAGTGTATGGGCTATGTTACTGCTTCCTTTCTTTTTCGTTAGTCTCTCGACTTGACTGCCGTTGAATATTTTCGCTTCTCGCCAAGTTCGTTGCACTTCGAAGTTTGGCTCGGCACGTATTTTAGGTCAAATTGGCACTCCGTCCGAAGGACCGACAGGGCCCCTTTGGCACATTTACCATTGTCAGTATATAGTTTTTGCCACCTGGTTCTTTGTCTATTGTTGATGTGACCTGTACACTATCGTCAGTTTTATTGCTTATATCACTGCGTGGTATCTACAGCAGTATAGTTCTATTATATATACCCACATTTCAAAAGTCAATACATGTCAATAATGCACACATATCATCCAACACCTTGGGATCATGTCCCACAGCTACATAGAGTATTTTTGATACAACTTCTGATCACCTGAAAAGAATCGGCTGCGTCTCATGTGCCTGACATGTCATAGACGTCGTCTACATAGATTATGCATCACCAGATGATCGGCACGGTCAGCAGTGTACTTCGTCCAAGCCAAAAACACTTATATTATCCAACTCTCAACTCCATATTCTAACAAATCCAACACAAATCGAAGCCTCCGTCCATCGCAACAAAGCTTCAAGCACCGATACAAATATTACATAACAACGAAACTAATAACTAACTCAAACGGCGTACTTGACTTAACCAGCCGATGAAGACAGGCTCATGTCTCCAGATTCCTCATGGCATCATCAAGAGGATACTTCTTGCGCAGCTTGTTGACAACATAGAGACACCAGCCTTCACCATTAAGAGAGTCATACCCTTTGGGAGTCATCAAATTGAAGCGGATATCTACAAGCAGCGTTCTGCCGCAGACTTCCCTGAGACCCATGTTTTGCGCCTCGGCCATTTCATAGTCCTTCCATATTCTGTCCACGTTGATCGGCGCTAAATTACCCTTGTAATCGTGAGTGGAAAGGGCATACCGTAGTAATGATTCGAGTAAATCTCGCTTTGGAATGCCGTGGATGTTGGCTTGGATAGTGGTTAGGGCTTGATAGATGCTGTGCATGGTTTGGGCTTGGCTTGAACTTACTGAGATGACTGTTAGGGTACCCTGTGGGTGTCATTCTTGCGAGAATCAGTATGGTCTGGGAGGATTGTCACTTTGGCCTTGGATATGATGGCGAGCATGGCTGTGGATTGGCAGCGATAACTTGATGCTTGTATTTAGGTTATGAACGGTCAAGAAGAGTGTTTTCGGCGTGAATGGTAGGCGAATTATGTTCTTTGTTGAGTTGGTAAATTTATCTTTAGGATATCTATATTCCTCTGGCTCTTTTGATATTAAATCCATAGTGATGGGGTGTATTGTTATACATTGTAAGTGAAGATATACAGGAAATTGGAGATCATATTTTCGGGCCTGAGGCATCAACTCTTCTTTGTCAATCAACTCGTATAGTTATGCGGAGAATGCCGTACAGCCGTAGTAAATACTACATAGTGCCAGGATGACCCAGCACTAGTCAGACCTTGCCTGTGTTTTAAGTTGGTACCTGAATTATGCTATAGTGGATAAATATCAGACAGCAAAAGAAACGCTCCAATAATATTGGATATGATTATGATTGTTCCACGTAATGACGCCACTGCTGAGATAAACTCTTTATCAGCGATAAGGATTTATCCAACATATCCGCTGCTTTCCAATCTCCACCTACCTTGTTTCCTAGTCTTTCAACGAGATGGGTGACTACCCCGGAATTAGCGTTGAATTATGAATCGCCTAAGCAGATCTCTTAGTCAATTATCGTCTCACCATTTCCGTCTGCGACCGTCCTTTACATCCCTCGTTCCGAAACGGTACATAGGAATTCCGCCCGCGTTTCTGCTCGACGAATATATCCCGCGCTACCAGCTGCTCACATCGATAGACGCTTCGAAGAAAAGGTCTCTCGCCTATGCGCATCTACGAGAATGCAACTTATGCCCACGCCGTTGCGGAGTAAACCGGTACGAAGAAACCGGGGTATGTCTAATCGGCGCTGAGACCGTCAAGGTCAACACGATCGCACCACATCGTGGAGAGGAACCATGTATTCAGGGATTTAATGGGAGTGGATCCGTCTTCTTTTCAGGATGCAATTTGCGCTGTGTGTTTTGCCAGAATCATGTATGTCGTTACCTGTTTTTTTCGTGGCAGTTCTGCATTGCTCAGATCAACGCGCTAATCGTGACTCCTTAGGACATCGCCCACCAACGAAACGGCTTCGACGTAACTCCCGAAGAACTAGCGGATTGGTTTATAAAGCTTCAGCAAGTGGGTAACTGCCATAATATTAACCTAGTCACGCCGGAACATGTGGTGCCGCAGGTTGCGCTCGCGATTCTGACGGCGCGCGATATGGGTCTCAACATTCCTATTATTTACAATACGTCGTCGTTTGATTCGCTGGAGTCTCTAGAGCTACTGGACGGTCTAATTGATATTTACTTGCCTGATTTCAAGGTATGGAGGAATAGTACGTCGAAGCGGTTGCTCAAAGCCGAAGATTATACTGAGACGGCGATGGAGAGCATAAAGGCCATGCATAAACAGGTCGGCGATTTATGTTTTACGTCGGATGGGATTGCTAAGAAAGGCGTCCTATTGCGACATTTGGTTATGCCTGGCAAGGAGGACGAGGGTCGGGAGATTATGCGCTGGTTGGCAGAAAATGTGTCTCAAGACCTATATGTGCATATTATGGAGCAGTATCACCCGGATGCCCATGTAGGGAAGAGGAAACGGACGATGAAGAATGCGAAAGGCGAGGACGGGGACGAAGTGCGGTATGCAGAAATCAACCGCGCGGTCCGCGATGATGAGCTTGGCTCTGTCAGGGATGCTGCCGTTGCAGCTGGGCTCTGGAGATTTTGTGAGGCGAACGAGGATAGTTCCATGTTTCATCTGTGAGCCTTGATCCAGTACCGGATAAGGAGACTTGAATGTGGCTATTCATAGACAGATACCTGTCTACGGGAAGAGGCGCCAGTAGCTTTCCCTTCCCACCTACTCAGCCTCCTAGTGTTTGGGAGAGGCTACTTGGTGGTTCTGTCAATGATGGCATGATAGAGACTTCAGGTAATGCATAAACGAAGCTGGGTGGTATGCATGTGTAGCTGCTACAATGGTTAGCTATATAGATTGGCTACGGGATTGCTCTTCGTAAGATGGTCGAAGCGAAGATGACCCCGTTGATGCTTGTGTATAGACAAAGCAGAATTTCTAGAAAGAACAATAGAGATTCACTGGGCTGTAGTACAATTACGAGAAACCTAGCCATTCTAGGCTGTGTAACAACTACCAAAAATGAAACTAAGCAACAATATCCACCACGGACAGAAGCTAAAGAGGAAAAAAAATCGGACATGAAATCCGCCAATGACGCCGACCCTCGACCCACCGGGAGCTCAGCTCAGTTTAACTCCGCCCCCAGCTCAGCTTATCATCTTTAATTGTAGGCTATTGTTCCCTTTTGACAAACACAACAACTTAGCCTTATACAACTTTTTTATTCCTTCATCCTTTCACCACCACACTCATAACAGAACATGCTATAACCCTTACATCTCAACATCCGCCACCACAACAACATCAAAAACCAAAACACATACACCAAAATGAAACCAATAATCGCCATCCCAGCAATAATAGCCCTCGTCCACCGCGCCTACTCCCGTAAATCCCTCACCCACCTCGGCCTCGCAACAGCAGCTCTAACAGCAACCGCCCACGCCCTTCACCCCTGGTCAGCACCCTTCGCCCTCCTTGCTGTCTTCTACTTCGGCGGTACAAAAGCCACAAAGGTATCGTTTACGTCGCGGGGTCAGGATCTGAGCACGGAATCTACCCCATGAACTTGTTCTCCCACAAAAAAAAAAAAAAAAAAAAAAGGTGTACAGGTAACTAACTCAACAGCTCGTTATCTAGGTCAAACATGATATCAAAGCTCAATTAACCCTCTCCGCGACCGGGTCAGAAGGCGGCGAGGGCCAAAGAACCCACATCCAGGTTCTGGCGAATAGTGTCGTCGCGACGGTGCTTATCCTCCTCCATACTTATGCTCTGAGTGGGTCGTCGGCGGAGTGTTTCGAGAATGGCAGGAGTGCGGCAGATTTGTTGGTGGTGGGGATTGTTGCGTATGTCACCCTTTCTCTTTTTTCTCTTTTATTTGTTCCTGGATGAAGACCAAGAACAAAAACGTGGGAAGGCCAGTAATTACTAACGAAAATAACCATAAAAACAGCAACTATGCCGCTGTAGCAGCCGACACCTTCTCCTCCGAGCTGGGCATTCTGTCGAAATCCAAGCCCCGTCTGATCACCTCGCCCACACTCCGGGTCGTTCCACCCGGTACAAACGGCGGCGTAACAGCCGCGGGTCTTTTGGCGGGCGTATTCGGTGCATTTACGGTCTCTTTTGCGTCTGCTGTGCTTTTGCCGTTCTGTGCAGAGTCGAGTCTTATGGATCGGGTGTATTGGACGCTTGCGTTTACGGGCTGGGGCACGTTGGGGAGTGTGATGGATAGTGTTTTGGGGGGCTTGTTGCAGGCGAGTGTTGTGGATAAGCGGACGGGGAAGGTTGTTGAGGGAGAGGGCGGGAAGAAGGTGCTTGTTCATCCTCATCCTAGGGCTGGGGGTACTACGGGGTACTCGAGTGCTTCTGCTTCTGCTTCTGCTTCTGGATCTGTGCAGCAGAGGAAAGGGGAGAAGGAGGGTGCTGAGACGGTGCATGAGAGTCGGAGGGTTGAGAGTGGACGGGATTTGTTGGATAATAACGCTGTTAATGTTTTGATGGCGTTTATTATGAGTGTGGGCGCTATGGGTGCTGCTGGTTGGGTTTGGGGGGTTTCGGTTTTCGATATTGTGGCTTTGGCTTAATTGATTGGTTTTGTATTATTGTAATGTGTGATCATGGATTATGGTGCTATGCGAGGATGCTATCGAACTGATGATTTTGGTACATGGAAAAGAATATCATGCATGGAGCATAGGACAAAAAGTAGCAATGCTAAATTATAACCAGCGGCCTGGAAACTACGAGCGAGCAAACCAACCCTTCACGGCAGGCCTTTGGCAAGGGCTTTTGAAATAATAAAGAGCTCGGTTGCCCCATCGAGGTACCAGGTGAAGACTTTGCAATCTATCTCAAGGTTCAATGTGTTTTCTCCATGATTGCCTTGCCCAGTTCCTCTCTTCCATAGGCCAAAACCCCCATCGTAATGGATTTACTCTTCATCTTCATATAGATAGACTTCCAATTGGAAAATGCCAATCAAGCGTGGACGCGATGCCCGGTCCTTAGAGTACATGGTGAATGTAAATTGACCTTGTGGCGGGCGAAAGCAAGAGTTCTCTGCGGCAGTGAGCCAGGTCATATCCCAGTCCGAAGGTTTCTGTCTCATAAGTAGGATCCTACGGGGCTGACCACGACACTCGGAGGAATGGAAGCTTGGTGTTAGTTTCTACCCATATCCTCGGGTTTTTTCCTTCTATCGCCTGGCTTTGGGTGTGTAGTCACAGGGACCTCTATTTGACGGTTCTTGCCATCGTGACAGCGCGTTGCGAGCACTATGCTATCCTTGGTGATGAGATTAACTTGGTTTTGTGAGCAGGATAACACTGGTGTGGAGGAAGAAAACCCCACGATGTTGTGAGAGCAAAGTGCGCTGCCGAATGTCCTTTTCAAGGCCGGGGTTAAGGAACTCCAGATACAGTGAGACCTCCTCACCTTGAGGGAGATCCTTGGCCCAAGGCTGTATGTCATAAAAATATCGATAGGTCTTTTGTCCCGTTACCCCTAAGCCACACAATACGGCCCAGCCAATATTTGCAATGCGAGAGCTGCATTTGGCTAATTGCAGAGCTTGTTGCAGGGCTTGTGAGATAATGGATTCTGATGTGCGAACTTGGCCACCCGAGAGATGCAGCCTTAAACAGGGAGAGCGTGACATCAGTGTTGCAAATTTGTCGGTTCGAGTACTTGGGGCAGGATATAGCTACGCTTGTCCAGGTTGTTGAACTGGTCTATACTGTGGGTGAGGGTTGGATGAGGGGTAAATAGGTGCATTTCTTCCTGTCTTATGTACTGGAGTGTTTGCACCCTGGACCTTGAGTTTGAATGACAGCCCAGGGATTTGCAATGACGGTCCTTAATGAGGGTCGCGTTCTGTTCTCGCTGGGCTCATAGCTATCACAGTTAGGTTCTAGATATGACAGTCGAGGCTTGAGTGCAAATGCAGCCCAGAAAACGTCAGTTATCAAAAGCGTTTGGGGCGAGACTGTCGCACATCCATATTGGCGATCATCATATATGTTCAAGGAAACTGCTACTGGAGTTAGTAGAGCGTGCACAACTCGCAGAGTTGTCTGTATAGGACATAGCTTAGGGAGCTGCTGAACTTCAGGCACTGGGCAAATACAAGAAAGGCCAGAGTGGCATCTTAGTGAATCAAGACGCAACAGCCAATCATGGCTGTTCCAGAGTGCTCCGGAGGGAGTCTGTTAACAAAGACATTGTATGCTACTCAGTATGTGTGTTCTGCTTATCGGAACAACACGGCGGGGTCAACACCAAAAATGTGACCTCCAGAGTCCTTCATACCCCTGAGGGTGGTCGAGGGGAATCTTTGATACATAAAGCCTCGGGTGGACTGGTATATCTGTACTGTGCGGTAAGGCTGGGATCATAGTGTCATGCATAATCAATATCAGGGATTACCCTAATTCGGCCGTGAGCCGTGTCGGTAGTAGTAACCTTGAAAGTTGATTCGCATACATACGTGCGGTTGTCGCGCGACTTTGACTATGAGTAGTCCTATGATTGGACATAAATCTCTCAGGGGGGGTAGAGGCGGCCATTGCACATACATAGACCACTGAGAAATTGTGAATCTTTCCAGGATTAGTAGCGGAATGGAGCATTGGAACAAAATGCCATAAAGTAACTTGATGGAAGTACTCCATACCTTCAGCTGAGTCTTGCAACAGCCACAGAAAAGACCCCACAAGTGGGGTACTGCAAACGCTGCAAACTGGCGATGCAAACACAACGTCATCTCGCATTTCTCCACCAGCCGTGGGTGAAGTTCCTCGTATGGTTGGATATCAATCTCAGTGACCATGGCATGCGTGACACAGATTGGTGCAGCAGTTGACGTCTGGTATGGGAAGTGGGCCAGCACTCTTGCCCTTACAGGATAACCTGTGTCATTCTAGCCGTGGCCTGACCTGCATTGCCCTTGCAAATCTCAAATCGGATCGATCTGCTTTGATGTCAGAGCGCAAACCGTCGAACCTTCCAACCATCATCCCAATCTGATAACCAAAACTGGACTAGTTCTCATCCGTGGGGTGTTTGCAATAGGAATACTACAGAATCAGCATGGATTATTCAGGAACAGCTCAATCCATGGAGCTGGGAAGTTCAAGGGCTAGCCATTCTTTATAAAGTTCCCTTTCTCTTCCGCAGCATTCCAAACAAACCTGTTTTTAGCATACGACGTTCAATTCTTCCTTTCTCTTCTGTATTTTCTACTAACTCCTGTGCGTGTCATACCATCTGCAGGGGACTATCTGCACTCCTCATTTACCCCTCATTGATCTGCCCTCCCAAAGCATATTCTTTGTCTTTTGCCTACTACCATATAAACTACCCGGTCCGTCTGCTATAACCCCCGCGGTTAAGGTCCTCTATTAAACTTGCAGTATTTTTCTGGTATTTCGCTGTGTTTCTTGCGCATTTGTGGTTTCTGCGCCGTCAGATCAAAATGTCACCGTTGGCTCTTCCTCCTAAGACCGTTGACATTGTCAACATTTTTCAGAATGACGTGGAGTTCTCCCTCGTAAATGAGATCCATAAGGGTATTAATCCTCCCGCTGGCGTTAGGAAGTCAATGCCAACGATGCTTCTTTACGATGCCAATGGCCTCAAGCTTTTTGAGAAAATCACCTATGTGGAGGAGTACTATCTAACAAATGCGGAGATTGAGGTCTTGGAGACAAATTCCAGGAGGATAGTTGAACGGATTCCAGACAATGCGCAATTGCTTGAGTTAGGTAGTGGGTGCGTCATCCTTCCAAATCAAATCGTAACCTTTCAGGCTGCGTAGCGTATCAAGAATGTTCTCCGGTTTTAACCGCCTTTTAGGAATCTTCGGAAGATTGAGATTCTGCTACGGGAGTTTGAGCGCGTGGGAAAGCGCGTGGATTATTATGCCCTCGACCTGTCGCTATCAGAACTGCAGCGCACATTCGCCGAGGTATCCATTGACGATTACACACACGTTGGCCTCCATGGTCTCCATGGAACCTACGATGACGCCGTCACTTGGCTTAACAGCCCCGAAAACAGGAAGCGGCCCACAGTGATCATGTCTATGGGTTCCTCTTTAGGGAACTTTGACCGTCCCGGCGCAGCAAAATTTCTCTCGCAGTATGCTAGCCTTCTTGGCCCGTCCGATATGATGATCATTGGTCTGGATGGCTGCAAGGACCCGGGCAAAGTATACAGGGCATACAATGACTCGGAAGGTGTTACACGGCAGTTCTACGAGAACGGACTAGTGCATGCAAATATTGTTCTCGGATACGAAGCCTTCAAACCTGATGAGTGGGAAGTAGTGACTGACTACGATACTGTGGAGGGACGACACTGGGCAGCCTACTCACCCAAGAAGGACGTCACCATCAATGGGGTCATACTTCAGAAAGGGGAGAAACTTTACTTCGAAGAGGCGTACAAATACGGACCAGAAGAACGCGATCAACTGTGGCATGATGCCAAGTTAATCCAGACGGCGGAAGTGGGCAGTGGGTCTGGCGATTACCGTGAGTAGCGAATGGCTGCCTCATTTCCAATACAAGCGTGTGCTGACTCTGGCTTTCCGCGAGCTAGATCTCCATCTCCTGACATCCGCCACCCTAAACCTCCCCATATCTCCCTCTCAATATGCAGCTCATCCTATACCCAGCTTTGAAGAATGGCAGTCTCTGTGGACGGCATGGGATAATGCTACAAAGGCCATGGTCCCTCGCGAAGAGCTTCTGTCAAAGCCGATCAAGCTACGGAACTCTTTAATCTTCTATCTGGGACACATTCCTACATTCTTGGGTTGGTCTACATGGCTTACTACTCTCACCACATAGCATGATGCTAATTATGCAAACAGACATCCACCTGACTCGAGCCCTGCACGGAAAACTGACAGAGCCAAAGACCTATAAACTAATTTTCGAACGTGGGATTGATCCTGACGTAGATGACCCCGAGAAGTGCCACTCCCATAGCGAGATCCCAGATGAGTGGCCAGCTCTTGATGAAATTCTGGACTACCAAGAGCGAGTCAGAAATAGAGTTAGATCCATCTATCAAATCGAGGGTCTTGCAGAAAATAGAATCCTGGGCGAGGCGCTTTGGATTGGGTTTGAGCACGAGGTGATGCACCTCGAGACATTTCTCTACATGCTGATTCAGAGCGAGAAGATACTTCCCCCACCTGCCGCTGAACGGCCGGACTTTGAAAATATGTATCAAGAAGCTCGGGAAAACATGAAAACAAATGAGTGGTTCTCCATTCCTGAACAAACAATTACCATTGGCCTCGATGGTGCTGATACCAACGACGTACCCCCAACGACCTATGGGTGGGACAATGAGAAACCTGCGAGAACAGTGACCGTTCCGGCATTTGAGGCGCAGGGCAGGCCTATCACCAATGGCGAATATGCTAAGTACTTGCAGGCGAATCAGTCGCGCAGAAGGCCAGCATCATGGGTTCTGACCCATTCGAATGAAGACTACGCCATACCTATGGCCGTCAACGGAAGTAGTGTCGAGGCGACAAAGGACTTTATGGCCAATTTTGCCGTCCGTACTGTTTTTGGCTCAATTCCACTTGAATTCGCCCAAGACTGGCCTGTGATGGCATCATATGATGAATTGGCCGAATACGCCGAATGGGCGGGCTGCAGGATCCCTACGTTCGAAGAGGCAAGGAGTATCTATCTGCACTCAGCGCTACTAAAGGAGACAGGTAGCATGGAGCATAATGAGCAGCCCAACGGCCATAGGTTAGTGCAGCTTCGATTCAATGCCACACCCTGAGGATTAAGCTGAGCTGACTGCTTTCAGTGCAAACGGTGATCTGAATGGGGTGAACGGAAATGGCTACTCAAAGATCAACCCCAGCAAGCCTCGTATGCCGGACCACCAGCCTGTACAATATCCTTCCCGAAACGCCTTGCCAGTGTTCCTTGATCTCGACGGCCTCAACGTCGGGTTCAAGCACTGGCACCCAACCCCAGTTATCCAGAACGGCGATCAACTCGCCGGTCAGGGTGAACTGGGAGGCGCATGGGAGTGGACTAGCACGCCATTAGCGCCACACCATGGCTTTAAAGCCATGGAGATCTACCCGGGATACACCTGTAAGCACCAGTCTCATAATCGAATACTCTCCAAGAATTGATCATTATTCACTAACTCCGCACAGCCGATTTCTTCGACGGTAAACACAACATCATCCTGGGTGGTTCTTGGGCTACTCATCCCCGCGTTGCTGGGCGTACCACTTTGTAAGTTTATAAGCATAGGGCCCGGGGCAACTATGAGAAGCTGACATCATTTCTAGCGTCAATTGGTACCAGCACAACTATCCTTACACCTGGGCAGGAGCACGCCTGGTACGGGATCTTTAGTAGCGGGCGAGGGGTTTGTTTAGGCATAGATTTCATGCTTGCTTATCTAGATCTCCAAGTTCTGAAACACCTATCAATTTAATGGTATATCTTTACTCCACACCTAGTTCAACTTTCCTTCCTAAGGTATACTTTGTCAGAAGAGTGGTACCTCAACGAAGCTACACGCCAGTAGATTACTGTTTAGGGCATAGTAGAGTGGGTGCCACCACAGCGGGGAAGCTCCAACCGATAACGTGACGAAGATGCCCCTCCAACTTATCAAGCTGTCTTTATACATGCCCGGGATAAATATCTCAACTAAGGTTCATTGTTTCCTTTTTTATCTAATCTAGAGTTTGCAAACGGGTAGCTTCAATATGTCTCTCGAAACCATCACGACTATCTCGCCCTCCACAAATCAGCCAGTTGTCACTCGGACGGGCGTCACCTCCGAGGACCTGCAGCGAATCCCAGAGGTCGCGCAGGAGGCTTTCCGATCATTCTCCCAGTCGACCACTCTCAAACAGCGTCAAGAAATTGTAACACGTGCATTAGACATTCTCGAGAAAAAGAAAGATGAGCTTGCGCGCGAGCTGACTGAGCAGATGGGTCGTCCGATCGCATATACCGGTGTGGAGGTAATGACAGCTATCAAGCGCAGTCGCTACCTGACCAAGATCAGTGATTCGGTCCTGGGCGAAGAGGGCGTTGTCTCGGGTGAAGAGGAGAAGGGCTTCAGACGCTATATTAAGCGGAAGCCTGTTGGTGTGGCGTTTATCATATTTGCCTGGAACGTACGTTGCCGTTATACTTTAGTTTGAGTCAGTCACAGCGAAAATATACTAATCTTATACTTGCCATGGAATAGTACCCCTATTTGATCCTTGTTAACAGTTTGATCCCTGCTATTCTGGCTGGAAATGCTGTCATTCTGAAACCCTCTCCGCAAACTCCGACTATAGTAGAGCAATTTGCCACTGCCTTCGCCGAGGCAGGGCTCCCTCAGAACGTCATCCAATATTTTCACTGTGGATCTCCTACACTACTTGAGACTATTGTCCGATCACCTTTGGTCAACCACGTCTGTTTCACAGGCTCGGTGGCTGGCGGCTTGGCTGTTCAGAAGGCCGCGTCAGACCGCATCGTCAATGTTGGGCTGGAGCTCGGTGGCAAAGACCCAGCTTATGTTCGGGACGATGTGGATGCGGCGTGGGCCGCCGAGGAGGTCGTTGATGGAGCTATCTTTAACAGTGGACAGAGCTGCTGTGCGATCGAGCGGGTCTACGTGCACAAGAACATCTACGATGCCTTCGTTGGGGAAGTCAAGAAGGTCCTAAGCAAGTATCGTGTCGGGGATCCGTTTGACAAGCAAACGCAGATCGGACCTGTTATTTCAAAGCGTGCGAAGGATACCATTCAGGCCCATGTCACCGATGCAATCCAGAAGGGTGCCAGGGATGAAACTCCAGCGAATGAGACATTTGAAACCCCTCCTGCGGATGGCAACTACGTCAAGCCTACGCTTCTGACGGGCGTGAACCATGACATGATTGTCATGACGGAGGAGACCTTTGGTCCTGTCATTCCTGTTATGAAGGTCAACAGCGATGAGGAAGCTATTAAGCTGATGAACAGCAGCGAGTTTGGGCTGACTGCCAGTGTCTGGACCAAGGATGTGGCTAAGGCTGAGGAACTAGTTGAGCAGGTGGAGGCGGGGACTGTCTTCATCAACCGATCTGATTATCCTAGTCCGGTAAGTTTCAATATGGACCGACCGAGATCTGATTGCCATGGTGCGCCTAGGACGATGCTGACTGTTTCAGGATCTCGCATGGACCGGCTGGAAGAATTCGGGGCGGGGCGTAACTCTGAGCAGATTCGGCTTTGAGCAATTTGTCAAGCTCAAAAGCCACCACATCAAGGCCTACCCTAAATAAAGAGGTGTCACTTTTAGCTGCTATGACTTATGGATGTCAATGATCATATATGGTAAGGTAGACTAAAATGATCAAAGCGAACTTAGGCATGATTGCTTAGGGGCAGGTCCCTGGAGATGTATCCTTCAGCTTTTTCGAGTATTTGTGATCCGTAGGCAAACAGCTATTGGCCCCACTATCTTGGATAATTATATATTTAGCTAATTATAAGTGACAAATACCATAGCCGGTCGCTCTACTCCGTACAGTCGTGACATACACTAATAAATATATTCTCGCAGAGAAGAATATGGAGAAACATATAACGCCAACCAGAGCAATACGAGCGACCATAGAGAATAATCACCACATGTAAATATCACTTAGCAACTCTTATATCTAAACATGAGTATATATCTAGGCTAAGTCTCGTACAATCACTTGACAACTAGCCAGGGGAAAAATTAAGATATGCTGTTTGTTTTTGCTTATAAAGCTTAAACTATGTGCTGTTTCCAACAACTGGTCTCCATAGTCTAGTGGTTAGGACGGCGGTCTCATATCAATATGACAATTCCTATCTAAAGGAGTTGCAATCCGCAAGCACGAGTTCGATTCTCGTTGGAGGCACATATTTTTTTGCATTTTATTTTTTCATCTCGCTCGCCCCTAGGACGAGATCTCATTTTTGATTGAATATTCCGACCCTCAATCAACATATGCTTTTCCATTCACGGAGTAACTCAAAGTCAACTGGTACTTTTACACACCATCGACATGTTTAAATCCCACCTAGCCCAGATCTGATCTCACACCCGACCAACAAGACCGTTCTAGATCGCCACTTGGCCTGCTTCCGCCTGCATTAGCATCTATTTTCGACGCCTCCGCATGTCGGCCACATATGCACCATAATCGATTTCCTGTAGGCCGTAGATCCCCTGAACAACTTCTATTCATATACAAACTGCTCCGTATGTACATAATGCATATGTCAGTACAGAGTACTAAAGAAAGAAATACCGCATGGAGACCCGATTACGTAGTCCATCCCATAGCACTGACGCCCCGAGATAAAACAAAAAAGCCCTCAAAAACACAAGCGCAAATTCCAGCCCGGGGGGTCCCCAATAAACGCCCATACTATGATCATCACCCTTAAGAGGATTACTAAAGTCACAAGAATAGCGAAAACCATCAGCCGGACCGGACGATCATGTCGCGCTTTAGTGTGAAAAGACGGGTACGTACTCCGATCTCCCCATCGTAGGTTTTCGGCCGGTGACAGTATGTATCGACGATCCGTACATCGTACATAGGAGTACGTAGGTTGGTTCTGTTCAGCGCAGCCAGACATACCACCGCGGCTCATGAATTGTAGATGATAACATAACCCTGACTCAACAGTCATACCACTTGCTCGGTTACATCCTCCTTTGTCTTTATCCTTTATCTACGGCAGATAGGTGCGGTTATATCTAGGCATCCGAATCTACTCCGTACAGAAACCACACACCTGCCGGAATAGGTAATACTCAGCTAATCTCACACCGCCAGTAAATCAGATTTCGACCAGTCATTCCAGGGTCCCAACATACCTAACCCTAGCCTATATACCTTAAGTTTTTCCCTTTTTCCTTTCCTTAAATGGGGCGCAAACGGGGCAAAAGGGAGGAAGGTAAAGGCGTGAGAAAGTATAGTGGGTATTCCGTATGCGGTGACCGATCCACTGATCTCCCGTCCGTTCCCCCATAGACCCCATTTCAATGCCCCATCTTAACCCTCTCCCCTTTCCTTTTCTTCTTTCTTTCGATGGATTTTCCGTAGTCCGGAGTGGAATAGGGGGAGAGGGAGGGGTGTGGTATCGAAAGAAAGAAAGAAACGAGACCCAGAACGATGGTTACGAAAGGGAGGGACACAACGAATATGTCGTCCTTTTTTTTTTTTTTTTTTTTTTTGCGCGTACTATTGAGCCACTGGGAATGCGTGAAGTCAGCGAAGTGTTTCCTGACGCAAGGGAGAAGAGATTCCGGGCGCGAGGACGTCTATTACGGAGTACTTGGATTTGGGGGCCATGGAATGCAATAATACCGTGTTTAATTGGGGAATGGAGGATGGTCTCGGGTCTTGGAGTGCTATCACTTCTCTTTTCCCTTTTCCTTTCCCGTTTTCTTACTTTTTCTTCTCTTTTCGTTTCTTTTTTTTCTTCTCTAATTCCTTTAATTAAGATTGCTGGCTGGTCATGTTTGAAACATGACTGGGGGGTGGTTCCATTCGATCTTTGATTAAATTCCATGAAGATGGTTGTAATTGTACTGTACTCCGCATTCACCTGTGGAATGTTCCATGGATTCAATTGCCCTTTTTTCCGTCCATTACTGTTTCGATTTCATTTGCTTAAGTGGGTTTATGGATATCGGGAGTTTTGCTGGGTCTGTTTATTGTTTTTTTTTTTTGGGCGGGTTAAATTCTATTTCGTCGCGATCTGTGATATGGAGGTTGGTAAACAATGGGAATTATTGATTGGATCGATCAGTCTTTCTGGTCGGAATGTCTGAAAGTAAGCGATTACGCGCGCGCGCCCCAAGAGTTAGTCTTAACCGGTGCACTGCCGCCTCCCGAGATTATTCTGGACCCTGAGGGCCAACTCAGCAAAGTTTCATGCATGGAACCGAAAAAGAAATAAGAAAAAAAAAAATAATAAAAAAAACCTAAAAAAAACGAATAATCTCATCGTACAGTTTAGGCGCTGCTGTAGTTACAGGTTGCTGGAGAGATCGACAATGGACTACCCACCAATGCATATGCTAGATAGGAGACTTGGATTATGATCTTTAGGCGCCTTGCTATGTATGCGCTGTTGTCAATAGGCTATCGCCTAACTCCAGTCTAGATTGTCGGCTCCCGAGTCAGACAAGTGTTGCGCCAGCATTTCTTGCATGCATGTTACTGTATTAAATGGTTAAATTAGGCAAGAAGGGGGCGAGGACCAAAAAAAGAAAATAATAGTATTAATCTTAATATTCCAAAAAAAAAAAAAAAGAGAGAGAGAAAATCATTCACGCGATTTCATTCGGCCAAGTCACCTTGAGCCCTGAGAGATACCCGCTCTTTTCTACTGCGAGGGGATAACTGCCAAAGGAATGTGTCACATAACGCGGTACGAAAGGAACATAAGGCTGTCACTGTTGGCTCCATGCTACAGAATGTGCCGATCGGGTTAAGTCTGCATTTTGCACGGGCGAAACCGTTAATTCATTCAGCTGGCTGGCAAAAGTTCTTTCTTTCCAAGAATCTCGGTATATATCATCGTCCTGCCTCTCACTGTTGTGTCAAAAGGTTTGTCCTTTTCTTCCCCGGCCAGCGCCTCCAATGTCATAGAACATTCGCCAGTCTGTCTTTCGTTCTGTTTTTTAGTACCTTTCTTCTTTTGGGCCATCGTCTTTTCTTTCATTCTGACCGTGTCCTTCGTTTCATAGAACATCTTGCAGAAAGCGTCCACTCCCTTTTGTCTTTTGCGAATACCGATTTTTAGTCCTTTGCTTGCTTCGACCCTGCGGTAAATAGTGGTCGATCAGCGTACCTTGTATCTCACTTCGATTCGACCTAATTGACTACGAATTTTCTTCATTCCGACATCCCCACTTTGCAATTATGGAGTGTTTCCGGCAGATTGGTCGACTGGTCAAGGCCCCATTCCAGCGTGATTCGCACCACAGGGCATTGGAAATCGTAAGTAAAGGTCTTCAAACTAAGACTTGGCCTGGAAAATGCAACTGACAGCAGATTCAGGGACACCCAACCAACTTCCGCAAGGAGGAAATGCCGACTTTCTTCCCAGATGACGAGTCAGTACATGTTAGCACCAAACCTCGAGAGACTGTTTCTGACAATGCCGTTCACAGTGCTCAAACGTTACATAGCCACAGCTCTTCCCTTGAGAAGGACGCAATGATCAAGACCTTGGAGCGTGAACCCTCAACTCGCCAACGAATCAAGAACAACGTCCGAAGACTAAGTGTCAGAGTAGCTCGGCCAGTCTCAGAACACGAAGACTGAGGCCGTTGGCTCAAAGCCGGCATGAGAATGCCTGGCTTGCCGAGTTTCAAAAGTTGTGCCGCCAGGTTGGAATCAATGGGTGCCGGATTGGCTATGAAATTATCTCGCTTAAATCACCTGCGAATTCAAAGCAGGAAAGTTGGAACTTCGTTGAGACGCGATTTCTTCGACTGCGGATTGTTCCCACGGGGTGGAGTTTTCTGTCGGGTTTTCCTGATAGACGGTGAAGAACCTCGACCCTGTACTTGTACGTCTGAATTTTGTAGCTCTGGCAGCTCATCAAAATCATCATCAAAAAGCAATCTCCTCTTGGAGTGGGTAACGGTTGGTGTCTTGTATCTAGTATTGATAGACTGCACTTTTCTTCCCCGGTCCTTTGTAGGGGTCAAAGGGCTATGTTGAGAATTCGACGACATGGAATTAGAACTAATGAGACGTGCTTTCTGAGTGGGCCTCGGTGTTTCGTGTTGTAGTTCTAGGTCATCGTCTTCCGAAGCTGTTTCGTCAACATCGATACTTTTGGCTGTTTTATATATCCTTGGTGGCGAACTGCCAATCGCTCCTGAATATCTCCCCGTGCCAGATGACTGCGAAAATCCCGCAGCCGCCCTTGTCGATGACTTGATCTCCTGCATACCTACCAATGACCTTGCCTTCCTGGGACTCATCATTAGACCGTGTAGTGATGTCCCCGCCCACGTTTCACCCTCTACCACTTCATTCTCTTCTTCAGAATCCACCTGCGGCCGTTTACTCTGTATCCGCTCAAGCCCAGCCTTCTGACGTGCGGAAAGTGCATCAGCAGCATCTCTCCGTCTGGTGACGTCGCTAACAGGCGTTACCCCATCAGTCGGCCTGGCTAGATTCTGAATCGCCGTAGCATTCTGTAACTTTACTTCCTTCTTGCGCTTCGCGTACTCCGCATAATGAAGATGTTGCGTAAAGGATTGGGCCACAGCGTAGAATTCGTCTTCGACCATAATGTAAATGTCATCGTTAGACAGACCCTCGATTAGAAACCTAATTAAAATCAATTGCCCACATTAACAACGGTCCCCTTCAGCTTGGCTAGCGGAAAGGGTAAAGGAAAACGGACTCTTCGGATGGACAGCGGTGAATGGGAGATGATGGCGGTGTCGGGGCTATACTAGGATGTTAGTTTCTATGCTTCCCATTTTCCCTCAGAACTCTATACATGATCTGAAGAAGTCTCGTTTCTTCGGACTAGAATCGCGCGCTCTCGCTCTGGGAGTCGCATCGCTGTCCTTGTTTTTGTTGCTTTTCTCTTTTACCGTTCGTTTTGGCTTGGAGTCTTTGCTGCTTTTGCTATTTCCTGTGCCGGTGAGCCAAGGTAGCGTGCGAGGCATCTTGTCTGGTGTTCGGTGACGCTGTGCCACGAGAGACTAGATTTAATCGCTTATCATTCTCGGTTCACTTTCCTTGAATCTTAGAAAGATTGAGTGCGGGCAGAAACAGGACGCGAATGAGGCGCGATAAGAGATGACGGGACGCGGGAGGGTTTCCGCCCCGCCTCCGCATGATCACTTTACTGAATGCAGTAAGGCTATGTCCTGGGCTCGACTTGATCCATTTGGAGTAGAGAGGACAACTCAACTGGGAGTACTTAAATATCTCACTACTTGTATATCAGAGGATTTTGCTTCCTACCCGCACAGAACAAGTTGTAAAGAAAAACCCGCGTCCATCTTGGGTATCGATTTGTTCTAAGTAGCGTTTGCACAGCAAGATTTGTAATACACATGCAATCAATGTTATGTCCCCAACGCCACATAAAAACCCCTAATATCAAGAAGTCCATGCCCCAGTCAACCCGATGTTGACATTGTCATAACGCCGGTCCAGGAAATAGGGCCTAAGGGAGTAAAAGAAAAAGCACAAAAGAGCCATGGATATCTGGGAACGATAGGTCGCTATGCCTCGCCGGGGCGCTTGCTGTTGCAGCTAACAATCTTCACTTTATCCGCTTGTACGGTCGTCTGGTTGTCCAATTTGAAGGTGACATCTTTGATGAGGAAGGTCCATACTTCGTCGCAGAAGCGATATGTATCCAGGTGACCCTATTGAGAGAGAAACTTTGTTAGTCTTTGACATTTAACAAACGAGGCTGGCGGGACTTCTCTAATACGGTGCTCCGCAGGATATATGTACCTTGAAAGTAAGCCTAGCGCGCACTTTATCTGCGAGGACCTCGGTGATCACTCGATCAAAAGTGGAAAGAATCTTCATGGCGAGCTGAGGCTCGATTCGGCCATCATTGATCAAGTCATCGAGGGTGTCGGTAAGGGACAGGCCCAGGCTAGAATAGGAAATGGGTTAGTGAATGGTTGAACATATTAGGCTAGCCAGTCAGTACCTGCTCCCGCGATAAAGCTCGTAATATGCTTGTGCGTTGCTCATGGTGCCGAGTATGGAGCGATCGAGGGGGATAGTTGGACCTGGTGAGAGTTGCCTGAGTGATATGACTGGCCGTGGGGGAGTATCTGCACGTGATATACAGGTTAATATCATGTGACCACTTGTCCAGGTTATTACATCAATATGATTGACAAGTTTAATTTCAGGTAAACAATTTCTAGTAATGATAATGTTTGAAATTGGTATTATGATCAGCCAAATGAAGAAAGTTCCACTATTGCGGACTCCGGCTAGGCTCTTCCCAGTGCAATCGATATATTCTCCGCTGAGACAAATATCCTCCACTGCGCAAAGGCTATCGGATACCAAGAAAAGTTTGTCCAAGCACTGGTACTGTCCTTGAAGATCTTCAGCCTAATAGAATTGGCAGATGCATATTATGAATCAAACAGGCGACTGGAGATCATGGCAAAAGATGATTCAACACCTCAGACTGGCAAGCAAATGAAGCCAGAAAAGGCCAAGACTGTTTCACAAGCTGACGAGGAGCTTCGCCAAAAATTAGAGCAGATGTCTGGCGGAGGAGGAGCCGCTGGGGTAGAATACGAAGATGGCAAGCCTAGTTCCATGAAGCGAAGTGTTCGAAATAACATGTTCCGCTATATTTGAACGACCATCGAGAAGTCTGCCATCTCATGAGCAGCGGCTACCTGCAGCTTCTAACTACAAATATGAAGCTGAAAAGATTGCCGTTGACCTGAACTGACGCCATCTCAACCTGTACTTTGGCCTGAATGACGGTGAAAGCTCTATATCCAAAGCACAAATGCATGCTGGGCAAAGACCTATGGCAGTACTCCTCTTCCTAGGTGCCACAAAACGCTATACGACATCATGAAACTTACCCCAATCGCCCAAATTATATTATTTAGCCGTTGCAGACAATCATCCTGTTCTGATAGGCTTGGCCCATCTACTGAGTTGAAGAACTGTTTGAGACGCTCGATTTGAGAGCCCATCAGCTCAATACGAGTGTAACCGGCCATGTACTTCAATCTAATAAACGTAACTTCAGATAAAGCGGTGACCATGTCGTATAGATAATAATGCAAAATTAGCAAGGAAGCAAGGGACCACTAGTATATAACGCCTTACTCAATTAAACAAGCGCCTCTATCGCCCAGACAAAATTGTGAACTCCAATGGACCACAGCGCTCATCCGGAGACATTCAACAAATGTAAAGATCGTATCGCATAAATGGGAGAGATGGGGGGTGGTAGGTTGGGGGTTTCCTCAAGGATCACCGGTTAGCTACCATTCCCGCCAGAACTCCAGCGCCAATGACACCACCATCGGAAACTTCGCGTAAGAAGACCGATTTCCCGCTCTTCTGCGGCCCAGTTCTCATGATGAGGCGGTCAATGAATTGCTGACACATGTTCTTGAAATTGGGATAGTGCTGAATGATTCCGCCAGTGTAAGCGACGACAAGCTCTTCAGGACCCGATTGCCAATCTGCCGGTGTGGGCGTGGGCGACAAAACCGGGACAATTGGCCCGTTGCCTCTTTCAACATTTGTTGGTACGTTTAACGTAGATGGCGATAAGAAGTTTGTTACAGCCGAGACGTCAGCACCGTCGTTGTGTTCAGGAGATGCAACGCCGGAGGGCTGTGGTGAGTTTTCGGTGCTCTCAACTTTCAACTCGATCTCGTTCGCGCAGGCAAGCAACCCTACTACTGCCGCAGCAATCAAACCGGCAGCTCGTTTTTGTACAGTCCGCGCAATTTTCCGAAAGGCACCGGCACACACAGCATCCCAATGCCATCCACTACTTTCCGGTGAAGGTAGAGAGTGATTCAACCCATCCGCAAGTTCCTGGTCCGACCGAGCACGAGCAACATTATCTGAAATGAATGTAGTTGTCAATGCGTACTCTTGAATGAGATTAGCAGGAAGTTCCTTCGAAGATAATCCCACAACGTTGGTGAGATAGTCAAAAAGAATGAGCCGAATAAGTTCGCCGATGTATCGCCCACCAGTCAGGTACTCGAATGGCTGGAAACCAGGTCGTGCACATGCCCTGTCCAGCTCAATGTCCCATTTAGTTATGATTTCGAGTTCCTTCAAGGGAGGTGCACTGCCGGAAAGAGTCCACTCAGTGTTGATAACTGTCTCTACTGCCTCTGAATCCTTTGACTTCACATGGTTGGCCTTCATTTCATGCAAAGAACTCAGTTTCATTGGAATTGTCGCATTACATCCCGTGCCTACGATGATGCCCATAGCGACCCGGCTGTTAGGTAACGACTTGACAGCATAAGCCAAAGATGCAAGCGTAGCGACAGCATCATTCGTGATGGCAGCAATCTTGAGTTTCGGTAGAGCGAAAAGTTTCCGGCGCTTAGAAGAAGGTTCATCTTCATCATCTGGACGTCTAGTGTGTCTCTCATAGCCACTAAGAAGGATCTTACGAAGGTTGAGATCCGATGT